GCTGCCTTGTCATGTGTGGGAGAAAAGCGGATAGAAAATTCGGAAGTTTCCCCCTTGCGGAGACTATGGGTGACATGCACCAAATCCGTTAAAGCTAATCTGATTTCTGAATGGTCCCCTATGGAAATCAGTTCAACAGAGATAATGTTCTTCCCATAAATCCCCATTATGAAAACGAATCAGGTCAAAATGAAAGGAATCTGGTGCATGCCACCCGATAGCCATTCGTTCATCCATCCGCTCACAGAATACGCTTAAGCGTTTTGTGGTTCGTGTGGCCGGAATAGTTTTACATTTCCAGGTCATGCGTTAAGCGCGTTTCGTTGTTTGTGTGGCCCATAAGCCTGCAAGAATTGGTATTTCCAGGCCACAATCTACGCGCGTTTCGAGTTTCGTTCGTGCAGCTGATGGGCCTACAAGGCTTTACCTTCTCGGTCTTCGGACGAATGAAATAATTTAATTTTGATGGTGTGATGCGACGCGAATTGAATTCGATAATCTCCATATTCCGAGTCTCCTTCTGCACACCCTGGACATTAAAGTTGAGGCTATCGTAATGCTTCTACGGAAGCTCTCGATCGGGAACGGCCTTTGCAACGACGTTGATTCCTTATCGAGCTTGCTTACGGTATGACTATAAATAAGTCTCGGGGACAGACTTTCGATCGAGTCGGACTACTTCTTCCGGAGCCAGTACTCATGGATTGGCAATTAATTGTACGTTGCCTGCTCGCGAGTTCGCACTGAGGATTAGTTTAAGATCTTGGTTATCAATAGACCGAGGCAAGGGAAAACACTGATGCTGGCACCGTTACCGACGATGTCGTCTTTGAGGAACCAATTCTTTGTTTGTCAAATCTGTTCGTAGGGACTAGTTTTGTTTATTATGATACAAACTTTTCGCTTCGTTCCAAGGTGTGTCGCGTTTCTTGATCTTCCATGGTCGAAAGGTATGGTATGGTATGGTTTCGTGGTATGAATGGCTAGAGGTGCGACTATCACAGAATTAGATAGGATTACCCTATAGGTCCTTCGATAGAAGGCCGCAATTGCGACCGCAGGCCGTTATTCCTGGCAGAAAAGGTTTCCTGATGAGAAGCAAGGCGACATGAAAACGAATTTCAGTGACATCTTTTAAACCGTCCTTCGTGAAGCATCCTATCCTTCTGCCCTTTCGCTTTCATTGGTCGTCGCAGCTAACTAGTCATTCAATAAGGATGAAGGGTGACCTTGAGTGGACCTGAGACAATGTATGCATTGTCTGGAAGGGGTGAGGGGTGAGGGGTGAGGGGGGGGGGGGGGGCAAGGCAGAGGGGGGCGGGACAGATGGGGGCTGGCTGCTCATCGAAGAAACTCGTTTTCTTGGGAGAGGGTGATGCATTCTCGCCTTAGTTTCATGATGATCATGCTAACCCCTATTGTAGCTCTGACTAAACATGCACATCACAAGGGTAGATTAGCAGGTAGTGCAGAGATCAATGGGAATCAGGTGCAAGAAACTTACCAGGAACTTTTTGACCATTATGCATTCCTAGATGAGCAGGTAAAAAAATCAAAATACTTTAAAATATTCCTTGGGGAGAGTGGCTGAGCCTCGAGTAGCGAGAATAGGCGAGGACTAACAATATACCGATCCTAGTGAAGAGTGAAATAAAGTAGTCACCTGGAGGTAAAATTCGAAAAAAAGACATAAAAGAGCTTCAAGGGCCAATGGGTATAGGAGCATTCTGTCCGTCTCGTTTCTCGCAGGATAGCTGGTGTTTCAGAGACTGAGAAGTGCTGCAACAATTTGAAAAGGAAAATGAAGTGGAGATGGGTAGTGAAATAATTGTGAACTTATAGCCTAGAGCTAATAATATTCCTTTCCTCGATGCGCACAAGAGAAAGACAGAGGCCAAGAGTTAGTTCCTCTATTCCACAATAAGTGATTGCGTCGAAGAACTCCAGGAGAATGGAGGACGAGAAAGGAAGGCAAAGCCAACATGGACTCATGCACAGCGAATTGGTATTTAATGCGTGGCCAGGGGTTTAGGGGTGGGGCGAAGGGGGAGGTTGGTTTGCCCCTTGGTTGCGCCCATCCTCATGATGTGCTGATATGGATGAAATCATGGCCAAATATGTCGGTGTCTTCGTTTTCCAGGAACTCCTCTGCTGTGATGTCCCCAATCGCATCCCTGAATCCGTTCATGGGGGGGAGGGAGGTAATAGCATGAGATGACCTATATTCCACTCCAGTTCTGTCTATGTGGCACTTCCAATGAAAAATGAGTCAGTGCCGGACGCGAAAATTCTCCGAAAGATAGCTACGCAAAGACGTGGGGCTTCTCCACATACAAAAAATGTGGATTGTCACATGGTATTAGAGTGAGAAAAGTGCAAGTGTTTAAACATCCTTCGTGACAAGCTACAGGATATGCATGTATATTTCCAGGAAACTACTGGATTCGATGAGATGTGTCTTCTCTTTCTAGCTCTTGCCCGTACCAATGTTACTCCAGCTAACATACTTTCCGGGTTACCGAGTTGAATCCAGACATAAGAAAAAACCAAATGTGTCAAAGAAAAATGCGTCTCTGCGCGGAATGAAAAGCAAGCCCAACGTGGAGAAAGCCAAACGAGACTGTGGAATATCATCAGCCAGGCGACTGGCTTCTCGTGGGGTTTCCAAGGGTGTTGATGGAGTCGGCCGATGTCCCAAATCTGAAAGAATGGACAGGCGATGCCGGTCAAAGTCCATCCCCAAACGAGCAACTTGATCGCGGTCGAGAATTCGGCAGGTGGGGGAGTCTTAAATATCGAATGTGTTAATTCTTTGGATCCGAAAATCGAGCGGAGTTGGTGTACTTACCAAGGTAATATGGGAAAAAACTTCATCTCGCAACGATGCGTATGTCCACTAGAACAAGTGATGGCTGAAGTCCGTTTTGCGTCTGAATGGATATTATCTACCGTTTTGAAGTAAGCGTTGGCGTAGTTTTCTCTTTAGAGAAATCGTTCAAAGAAGTGGAAAGCTCACCCGATTACATTAGGCCCTGCAAGTGCTACGCCGAATTTCATCGGAATAGCTCAACTTGGCATTTTTCTGGGGAGAAGAAAACTGAAGAAAACGGGACATTCTCGGTTGTTGCTCCTAACGCACATCGAATCCGTTCATTTGGGCCTTGTTTAATACAACGGTTTCCAGCACTGTCCTGGAGAAGAGGGGAGACTAGGTAGAGAAACGATGTACCGATCATTGCAACCGATTTGCAGTGAATGTGTCCCGCTTTCATTTCGCTGCCCCTCGTATACTGTATACGAGGGAGGTTCAGACGAAAAGGTTACCAAGAAAGTTAAGCACGTGGGACCTGTTACTTCAAATAAGTTTCAAATGTAAAACGTGTGCAGCTCTGCGTGAAAAATATGGTTTGTGAGCTCTCACGATAGATTTAGGGTCAATGTACTGTAGACGAAAATTTTCATGATTTGGTTAATGCTTCTGCCAAGCATTGGGTCCATTGGCTCCTCCATCGAGACAATAGCTCGACTTAATTGATGTTTACCTTTAAGATACACCTGAAAAAAATTGAAAGGAAGTCGGAGCTCCCACCCGGCGAAGATGACCGGTGGCCATGAATGATGAACACGTTCATTAGCTGCAGAGTGGATATTTCATCAAAAACATTGGAAAGTAAAAATTCCTGACACGTTTGGTACTTGTGCTCCAAGGGCCATCCAGTATCGGCGCCTCTCATTAAGAATCTTAGTATTAGTACTTAGTACTCAGTGCAAACGAATATAAGCAGGGTACTTCTTGCTAATCAAGTCAATCGTGAAATTCGTTCTGAAATTTTCTGAGAAAGATAGATACATTCCTTTTTTTTAGTATTAAAATTATTAATCAGAGGAATTTTTCAAGCAATAAAGCTTTATCGAGCACCAGATGCCAAATGTTTTGTGGCTCATGCGCGACCGGACATGAGCATATTTGGTGACTGGTAGATATTTGAGAAATAAATATTCCTCAGTGAATTTTTTCCTGGAAAGGACTTATCATGAAACGTGACTCAGTTCCTCCGATTCCGTGAAAAAAAGAGTCGGTCCCAGTTTCCCTTGGGCCAGGAAATTCCAGCGTTGCACTATCTGCAAGCGTGGGAAAATCTGCGGGTATAATAGGAGCAAAATTTTGAAAAGCTGCATCCATTTTTTGAGGTGAGGGAAGCAGTTGTCGAGCACTTGTGGTGGACGGAAGCTTCGACTGCGCTCTATCATGTTGGGATTCGTCGTCTTTTCTTTGGCTCTCGTCTGGGCCAATGCTGCTCCCGCTGACGAACTCGAAGGTAAGCCTTCCTTTCGATTCCATTCGGATACTATTGAACTATTGAGGTACCATCTTTTGGAATGGTGGTGGGTCGTAACATTTTTTTCTTGAGAATGCAAGTGGGTCAGAGGTTCAAAGAAGATTAGGAATTTCTGGCTTAAGCATTGTCCTTAGTTCCTTCAGATGAAAGAATAGGACAATGTCTCAGCATGGCACAATTTCTAGCGCGTTTCCATGAAAGCCTTATACTCAGTTTTCTGTTCAAATTCCCCCGTCCTTATTCTTCATATGAGATACCTCTGTACTCCCAAATTCTTGAGGTATTTCAAGAGCAGTCACACAATTAACTACTTCTACGGGAACTTGTCGGAAACTCATGCTACTGAAATTCATCGCCATGTGTTTCATGATGGAATCAATCTAACAAATTCTCTAGTACTAAATATTCTACTTGACAACGGAGAAGAGTGATATAAAATGTTCCGGTTCGAACGCTGGCAAATTTTGTCTCGCCGATTTCTCGCTTGGATTTTTCAGTTGTTGAACTCTCCTCATCTTATGCTAACAAAACTCTACTTAACACATTTTCGTGCGAATGATAAACCACGTGATATTGACCTCCACGGAACATCAATTCACCTCATTCTTGGCGAATGGACTTAATTGATCACGATGGCGGCGTGCAAAGAACTCGATGGACATGGGTGGGTCGTTCCGGGCAATTAACACAGTATGGCATGATATTCTTCAACTATTTTCTGGCTTGCTCCCCTTCAAATTCTTCCTTCACGCGGGAATAGCACGACTTACATTGCTTGCTTGCTGCCATTTTTGGTCAATTTCTTTCCTTCAAAACATGTTTCAGCAAAGCTGATGGGCATGGGTGAGAGAAATCTTCACCTTTCGTCAGTTTTCTCATGAATCCGTGCGACAAACCATGAGATATATATCGTCTTGTTTTCCACAATAGATGATTCTCCAAGTGAATCCGCACCCCGTGTAGGGGGTTTAAGAGCATTATCTAGTGACCAGTTTTCACTATCTCTTTGTTGTTATTCTCCATAGTATCTTGTAAAAGTAAAGTCCTGGTAACGCAATCAACTTCTTTCATCCTACTATTGTCACACAAATGCAACTTGCGAAGGAGTCGTTCAAACTGGTACTAAAACCTAATTTGTTCTTTTAATTATCTGATTTGTTTGTTTCTTTATGACAGAGATCTACGACTTCGTGCCAGACGAGCATAAGTGGGATGAAAGAATTGTGGGAGGACACCTTGAGAGCATCGCAAGTCATCCATGGCTAGTATCTGTGCAATACCGCACCGTTGCGAATGGTGAAAGGAAGCATTTTTGTGGAGGAACTCTGGTTGACATCCGCCACGTAGTCACGTCTGCCCTGTGCTGCGTAGACCATGCAATCGGCAGCATCCAGGTGGGAGCAATGGCCAGGTTATGGCAAAAATTACACAACTTTTAACTAATATACGGTATCTACGCTCCCACTGTGGCACTTTTCGCGATACTCTATTCGTATATACAGTACAGTATATGGATGTGTTACTTACTTAAGTTCGATACCATACTTCCTAATTCAATTGTCCGAAAAAAGGCTATGGCCAACGAATAAAAATAATGGACAAGAGCTCGTGCAGGTTGTGGGTGGATCGCATGCCCCATCTCTACGCTTGCCTGCCATCCAAGCCACGGCCAACCTTTTATTGAGTCTCTTGCAGATATTTGAATGAAGCTCACCAAAATTGACGAGAGATGTATTAATAAGCACCAAAGTGGAGACTTTGCTTCTAGTCAGTCTAGGTTTTACCTAGGTCTTCATCGGAAAACAAGGCATTAAGAAATGAGTCCTTGTCCATTTTTCATTATCGATTTTTAAGCTATTCATTTCTAAAAATTAAATCATTTGTTTCCAAGCATTAATTTGTCAGAAAAAGTCACTATTATTTTGGTAAATTACCATTGCATGCGCACAAATTTCCTGAAAGTGGCTTCAATGAGGGGCAAGATGAACAATTAAAAAATCGTTGGACTTTCTTTTGTTATACCTTGCATTGTTCAACCTAGCTCCATGATGTACATCACGCAATGAAATCGGTACTTGCTGCCCCCTAAATTTGCAGATTAGAGCAGGGAGCGAATTTTCAGAGGAAGGAGGAACTGTTGGCTCCGTCTCCCAGATGACAATACACCCGAATTTCGACGAGTAAGTTCCACCTTAAAATACATTACCATATGTCACAATTTTCTTGCCATGTGTGTCTTTCATATCATCTAGTTATGTTATTATTCGTTCAAATCGTGCTAAACATTATTGCTCATATCTTCTAAATGCGTAATATAACTACACAGTGCACTGTAGCAAGCGTATTTCCTCAATCCCTCAATCGACCATTTCTACCTTATTATTTACGTGATGTAGAAATTTGAACTTCAGAATTTTAACAGTTTATTCTATATTTATTTATTAGAAAAAAAAAAACAGTTTCCCAATATGTGTAAACATATTGGGAATTGTTAACCATTGTTGATGAGGCAGAACTGCATTGGGGGGGGGGGGTAACTTCATTTGTTTCGATGCTACTCGACCTCAGCTGGTCTGGTTGGCATGCATGATGTGGCTTTTGAATATCTATCTTGAACTCGACCATTGAGTTTTTTTTTTATTTTCTTCAGAATAACACGCGAAAACGACATCTGCCTCCTGACGTTGTCCCAAGCCCTGACGATCGGCCCGACCATTGCACCAGTCGATCTCCCCATACAAGGCCAGGAATATTCAGGTACGCTTCGTTTTTCGATAGAGCGGGAAAAGCGGTCGGGAAAGCGTCCGCTCTTAATGGGTTGAGAAGAGGGATTTCATAACCTAACTGAGAAAGTTTTATAAATGCTTCCTGCCAGAGAAATCTTTGGACTTCCATGTTGGAGTCAATACATTTATATACAATACATATGAATAATAAGTGCAAATGTTAAACGTTATTGTAATAGAAGCGGCGATAGCCATTTGTACGGTATTCTAGGATTCGCCAATGTGAAGTGACTGAAGTTATTATTGCTGATTTATTTAGAACGTACGCAAAAAGAGGTGAGAAGTTCTCGAGAAGGGAAAGCCAAGCCACATCTCCAAAGTTTACAGTAAAATAAGGCAAAAACTCAAGCGCTGACCAAGTCTGGAACGAAAACTTGAACGAACTCGAACGAGACTAGGTCGATTCGCCAGTGTGACTAGTATAATTAACGGTCAAAACACTCCTCTGTTCATGATGCACACCTGGAAGCTCATTTGCTTCCCCATCGCATGTGCATTTCATTGCCATCTTGGGTTAAACCTGGTAGCGTAGCCATAGCATCATTTTTCCGGAAGTCTAATGTAGTTCTACATGGATTTAGAAACATTACGTACCTTCTTAGATTCGGGGGAAGAGGGGGGGGGGGGGGGGGGGGGGGGGGGGGAGGGGGGGGGGGGGGGGGGGGNGGGGGGGGGGGGGGGGGGGGGGGGGGGGGGGGGGGCACGGCGAGGAAGAGGGGCTGATGGATGAGCCTTAGCCTTAGCCCCTCGTTCCCTGGCATTAGTCACTGGCCTATCCTATAGCAAGACTCACGAGCCGCCACTAGTCTGGAAAGATGGTGTCATATTTATGAAATCAACGCAAATTTTTAATTTCATATTCCGTCCTGTTTTTATGAAATTTATTAGACTCTTAGAATCCATTGAATACACCAGTCAACGTCAACTTTGAGGTCTCTAAAGCACATGCTGTCGGAAGTGCAGCTGTTTGAATGTTACGAGAAAAGTAATAATATGGATCAGGTGGTCATCACTTAAAACACCACTTGTTATAGAGGGGACGGAAGTGCAAGTCAGCGGATGGGGATGGCTGTCTTTTAGTGGACCTTCTCCGGACGAGTTTTACGTCGTGGACGTCCAAACCTACAATGACCGTGATTGCCCTGGAATGCTCGGCTGCAGCGGCTGCATCACGGCTGATATGATCTGCGCCGGTGTGGACGGCGAGCCAGCGGGAGGCGCCTGCAAGGTGAGAAGGAAATAACGTCTTCGGAGTCTAGATACGATTGGAGGGATGCCTGGAATAATGTGTGAATTTCCATTAACTGAAGAAACATTAGCTGCCAATATGAAAGGGAAGGAAATGATGAGGTTCCAATTCATTGCATTGCTGTGTTGAGACTGCCGGCATGCAAACCGTCCGTCATTAATTCATACTCGGGAAGTTCAGGCCTGGGGCGAATGGGAACAGTCTTCGAACAGGTTTTCGTGAAAATTGTAAATTAGCTGGGGCAATCGAGACCCACAAACTCCCCTCTCCTCCTCCACCTGCTAAGCTTGGTTTTACCTACTCGGGAAGGGGGGATAGAACCGTATGGACATCAATGGAATTTTGACTCTTGGACAGGGAAGAGGAGCTCCTTCCACTGGTCGGCAGAGACCACTCCAGACACAAATTTCTCACAGATTCGCGTCATTCCCATCGTCAATGTTGGTCCGTAGAACTTTAAACAAGGGGGATTCCGTGCCAAATCTGCAATACGAATTTTATAAGTGCTGCATAAATGTGAGAAAATGTCCAGATTTGACCCACGAACCAATCACTGCCATTTAATTTTCACCTCTACGCTCTAGGTACCTGGAAAGAACCAGAACATTAAATTATCTTTCTCGCTGGTTTATGATGACAACATTGTAGCCTGTATGCTTGAAATCCTGGTCCATTCAGCGACAGAATTTTCGTCAAATTCAGTCATTCGTACTATTAACACATTGCGTACCGGACATTTTATCCAGCTCTGGCCAAAGCCTTAGTTACCCTAACCTGAAGGTCAATGCTGTAGGGCTATGACTTTTCCGGCCATAGGCTAGACAAAATGACTCAGAAACGGAGAATTCCATGAGCGGTACGCAAAGAGAGAAGGACATTATCATGGAAATGCAGTAAGGTTGCTTGTATCATGGGAATGCAGTAAGGTTGCTTGTATCATGGGAATGCAGTAAGGTTGCTTGTGAGCCAGTGAGGGTTGGTATTCCTTCTTACCCCGACACGCGATCCACATGCTTTCATGGGGAGTGTCTGTTTAGCATGGGATAACACACAACACTCTGTGTGCTTCGTCTCGGAGATGCGGTCGCATTGCACCCTAAAAATCACTCGTGCTAGTGGCTAGGGTTAGGCAACCCTTTGAGTTGCCCCTTTGGCCTATTATAGGACCGTCGAGGGGTGTCCCATAGTATATTTCTAGAAGTCATTGAGTCTTCCATTGAGATTATGCTTAATTCTGAGCTCATTTTGGCATCGCAGGGTGACGGTGGAGGCCCCTTGACATCTGCCACTGGACAACTTGTAGGGATTTATTCGTGGGGAATCGACTGTGGTGAACCAGGACACCCCCAAGTTTATACACAGGTCTCTCACTACGTCAACTGGCTCATTAATGAAATCGAGAGCAACCTCTGTGCTGCTTCGCATGTGTAAAGCATTCGTGGACCAATTCTGCAAAATAAAGCAATTCTGACTCGAAGTTCGGCTGGTTTTGTGAACGTATCCACGAGCAATCTGTTGATACTTCCAGTATGACATTAACATTCTCCAATGAGAAAGGAAGAAAGGATCTCATTTTGAAAGTGAAACTCTGGTCTAATCATATTACTGGAGGTTTGCTATAACCTTAGTGATGAATCTCTTTTTTTTCCGCATTGCTGGGGCAGCATTAATACCACTACTTTATATTCCGAGTGAATGACAGACATCTCAGCCACGAATTTTGAAACATTTCTTACTGAGGGACGGAACTTGGACCAAATGCGAATGACATTGAACACTATCTTAACATGGACGGACGCACTCAGACTGAGACGAGCGCCACAAGCAGCTGCATGCATAGTAGTGAAGGGGATCACCCCCAGGTATTGTCTTCTTACCATTTCGCATGACGAGGCTACGGGTCAGACTCCCTCCCAGACCTTTATCGTAGCGGATCGCTGCTAATACTGGTTCTCACATTTAAATTCATTGTATTATTAATGATACTGACGTGGCCGCATCGGATCATGAGTCACGTCAGAGCCGCCTACACTCTCGAGAAAAGCGCTGATTTTTCCCTACATTAAGTTTAAGATGAAGTCTCTTAACCATTTCAAATAGCCTGGCGGATCAAGTTTTCAAGCCTAAACTCAAAAGCTTCACTCGGGGCCTTTTGAAATGCAGCAAATCAATATCGCGACCACATTCAATTGCGTAACACGTGTCTACGGGAAACGCGACCGGCTCGGTTTCTGGTTTAGTCTGTCCAGACAAAGGCTGAGTCTCCTCAGAGAGGCACTAGCAAGTTATTGATGACGTGAGATATATCGATTGCAGATGGTGCGTCCATCTTTCGTGGGGATTGTCTGCGGTTTCATTTAGAGTTGAGGGGGAAATCATGCAAAATGTAAAAATTGGTCTCGATTCCGATTTTTTTTTTTTCGGCGAACACCGTATCTGAAAAATCCCAAAGATAAGCAGATGATTTTGTCCGAGGACGTACTTCAATGTTGAAGTGATGAAAGATGAGTCATCTCCATCGAGAAATATCCGGTCTGTCCTTTTCCATGAAATTTTCACGGCTAAAAATCGTTTTGAAAGCACGCAAGGAGACTATCTCGTGGGAAAACCTTTATCGCGGCAAGATGCTTATGAAGTGTCCAGTACCTAGGTCAGGAAACAAATGCAGATATTTTTAGTACCATCATTTTCACGTGGCAAGCCCGAGATTCCACATCGGCATGCGATGTTGAAGTCGATCGTATTTTCTCTGGCTCTCATTTGCGCCGATGCCATACCTCCCGGCCTCAACGGTAAGTCCAACGAGCGGCTTTCTAAGAACCTTTGGGTTCTTAGAAAGGGGCCTCGGGATAAATCAAGGTCATGTTCTTTCCTCCTTGCTTTTTTCGTTGAAAACTCTCGTGGAGCCATAGAACCCCATTATAAGAAAGTGTTTCATGGGCAACATGTTCAGAGGTAACACAAATTAGTTTTGTCATCGTAAAAAAACCTTACGATTTAGAAAGCGGAATGTCTCAGCAATTTTTTTGTTATATTCATGTCTATAATATTTAAAATATTTAACCTTAAACTGCATGAAATCATGAAAATGCGTTGTTTCCTATCCGATCGCAAGACCCCAAGCCAAAAAATAAAAAATAAATGGAACGGAGCACATTGACGTAAATCTGCGCTGACATTGCACATATTACAACAGGTAGTGCATACAAATTTCGGCTACTCGGTCTGCCGGATATGTTGTTCTCATTGCTGACGTGAAAAGCAAGATTCAGAGCGCTATTTAGATGTCATTGCTGATGCTTGCTCGGATCTTTAATCTGTTGATGGCACGCGATTTTGCCTGATGGCTGGTGCCAAAACGTTAGCTCAAATTTAATGAAAAGGTTCACTTATGAACCTGAGAAAATATATAAACGTGATATGCTACAAAGCTGCAAGAATGCCACAGAAACTAACGAAATTTCATGGAGTTTTTCCCACATGTGCAGACACAGGACCTCAAAAGGTCAAGGGCATTTCTGGAATCTGTGAAAACTGATGAAATATTGAAGTACCATAATTAGGAACTAAACTGTAGCTTGTTCGAAAAATACTATCAAATCTAAGAGCTCATGTATTTACGATTCCCCCCTCCAAAATAATTTTTAATAATTCGACGCATTGTCCAACGGATCATCTTCCAAATTTTCGCGAGAATTTAAGCGCGCAGGTTTTCTCTACGTAGAAACGAATGCATGTCAGTTCATTAGGGCCCTCGCACGAACTTCATCAGAGTAGTTTATCGTCGTATAGAACCGCAAGAAAGGAATGCATGATAAGAGAAGCTCAAGTAAGTACTGCAAGAGCATACGATCGATGGTTAGCTTGTGTGTGACAATCTTTGTACGGTAACTACTGGAGTGTGTCTGAGTGAATGGAAAGAAATTCCGGCACTTTCCCGATCAGCGTTGCTCTTCGCCAGAGTTGTGTTATCACTCCTTCCATGCCGATACTTGCACCTGAATAAGTTGCCATAGACCAGGTCACTCGGGGTCCAAATTGGTGTGATGAACATATATTCACACGAGGATACTTTTGCTGACACATCATTGGGTGCTGGAAGCTATCGTTGACGCTGACAGTCGTCCATCTTCCTTTATTTCAATTTAAGAGGGCGGAGGATGTTAAGAAGTTCTGTAATGGCCATGGCTGATGCTCTGTGCTCCGTGCTCCGTGCTCCGTGCTCCGTGCTCGTGGAACACGACTCCAGGCATATCACGAAACCTTGCTACTGGACTTTGCCTGCCAATACCAATTCAGTGCTTCCATTCTCGCATCCTGGGTTCGGCATACCGACTCAGCCAAAGGCGAAAATTCAATTTCTAATGTTGGGACCTAAGGGTTGTTATATTTTTGTACTCTCATCATTTAAAAAAACAAAACATATCTAGGCTTAGGGACACAATGTATTCATTCGCCCATTACTTCCTGAAAAGAATGAAACCAATCCATTCCTGGAGTAGAAATTTCGCAGAAAAGATATGGGATTTACATTTTTCTTGTTTGAAAGCACTCCTTATGCAGTTACGTGACAGTCCGTAAGTCTTTCGAATGGCTCGAGTGACTGCAAAATATATAAATTATTTACGGATTTAAAACGACTAAGTTGATGCCTGTTGCCCCATTCCCAGGCTGCGCTAACGTACGCTTGTGTTTAAACGGATATCTCATTGACGGATAATATTTTCGGCGAGTAAGCTTTCTATTTACAGGGTGGTCCGCTTAAATTGGGACTGACTTTAAACTTGCACAGCTCCCTGATTATCAAAGCACGAACCTTCATACTGAAGGTATATTTTCGGCACTCTGTGCTGTGTCCATTTGCAGAACCAAAGTTGAAAATGTCGGTGGAACAAGAGCGCTGTGCCACCATCATCACCTGCCTTCGTGCGGGCCGCACGCCGAATGAAATCATCGAGTTCACGAAGATCCCGAAATCGACCGTCTATCGAGTCGCGGCCGACTTCAAAGCTGCCGAAAAGATCTTCACCGTCGATGCCTCCTTCAACCGCAGAAACGACCGCTGGCTGGCACAAGATCCCGAAGATGTCCCCATCGTCATGACAACCAAGCAACCAGCGTCCCTGCACGCGCTGCTGGTTGTTTCGAGCGAAGGTGATGTCATGCCGCCTCACTTCTTTGACAAGGGCAAGACGATCACCAGTCAGGTGTACCTGGAAGTCCTGCAGACGGTGGTGCATCCGTGGATCACCCAGGTGGCCGCCGACCGGCCGTATGTCTTCCAGCAGGATGGCGCGCCGGCTCACAACAGCTGCATCGTCCAGAACTGGTGTGACGAACACCTGGACATGTTCTGGTCGAAGGAGTTTTGGCCGCCGTCCTCGCCGGATTTGAATCCGCTCGATTACTACTTCTGGGGCGTAATCGAGCGAGAGTCTAACAAGCGCGCACACAACAGCGTTGACTCTCTGCGTGCCGCCATTGTCGACGTGTGCGCCAATACCGACCGGCAACACCTCATCAACGCCTGCAACCGCTTCCGATCGAGAATCGAAGCCGTGATCGAGGCCGATGGCGGTCATTTTGAGTGATCATTGTCGCTAATGAACAGTTGAATCCAGGGGTAAAAAATCATGTTGAACCCGTGCTTCATTGATGAGTACTGGAACGAGACATCCCAAATTCCCTGAATTCCCAATTTAAGCGGACCACCCTGTAGTAGACCTCTATCGGTTTGAGAAACAGTTGGCGAATATTCACTATGAGAGAGAATCTCCGCATCAAATCGCTATCCACATAAAGAAAATTCGTTACTTGCCCTACAAGTCGCTGGAAACTCGAATTTTCTTATCTGTTCGGCGGTCATGCGATGGGCGTACGTGGTAAGTGTCAGGGTGGGTGTGCGATAAAATATCCAGGTCAGGGAAAAACGTTGTTTCCTGCGTCTTCACACAAAGATTATGTAAAAAGGAAACATTTCTCTTAAAAGCACTTAGATGTGAATTTCATGCCACGAATTTATCTGGAGTACATTCGCTGCATATTTCCTGTAGATGTCCAATAGATCTCCGCAAATCCACATCGGATGCCCATTGAACAATCAATTGCTGCTTGGGGTTGCACAGAAATGCGATCTAACCCTGCCGATAGGTCAGTGCAGCGCTCCCATGCAGTCAAGGTAGTCTCCACATTACCCCTAATAGAGGTGGTCATACTCCTTTATGTCGGCTTGCACGGCAAAGTTGGAAGACTGTCTACAAAATGTAAGTTAAAGGGATAACAGGAAGTTTTCATGGTGTTCGTTCTGGGCTGGATGTGGATGGCTTTCTTGAGCTTTGACTGGACAGAACTAAGGAGAGTTATCGCTGTTACAGGTTCTTGCGACATTTCTCATTGGGAGACCTTGCTGCCAATTGCTGTGCATGGCCGGGATTTCGGTACCGGTTTCGCTTGGGGCTGATCAGCGGCAAGAAGTCGAGAATAAGCTAACAGGTGTATTACTCGTTAAACGTAGTGTTTAAATTTTTTCTTTTCTTTATTTTTGACAGAGACCAATGGTTTGGAATCAAACAAGACCCGCCAGGATGGAAGAATTGACGGAGGACGTGATGATTCCATCGAAAATTACCCATGGTTAGTTTCCGTGCAATACCGCACCGGTGACAGGAAGCATTTCTGCGGAGGATCTATTCTGGACACCCGCCACGTGATAACTTCTGCCCAGTGCTGTGGCGAACACACACTCGACGGCATTCAGGTGGGAGACATGGCCACACGCATATAGCTTAAACCAGCTGCATGATTAGCATCATGCACTGAGAACAGTGCATCCTGTTCCTTTACTTTCCAGATAAGAGCAGGCAGTAACTACACAGATAAAAATGGAACACTTCGCTACGTCTCCAGGATTCGAAAGCACCCGGATTTCGATATGTGAATTCCGTTCCATTTCCATTTTCCTAGCGTCAATTGTTCTTTTATATATCACTTTTGTATATATTTGCGTTTTAAACTCGTTCAAACGATGCTAAACTTATACAGTGACAATGTCACAATGACAGAATTTAGGTGTATAATGGGAGGCCAAAGGTAGCGGGACCCAGGGGGTCTGGGCCCACGTGACAAGCGGTGTGGAAATCAAAACAAGTGGATTCTCACTAATCATAATTACACAAATATTAATTAGGCGTAATTATGACCTACAGGCCAAAGATTATGCAGCACAATAAAGGGACCACAAACAAGCAGGATAGATCCAAAGGCAAGGACGAAATCAAGCAAATGAAGCGCAGGACAAACAAGGACCAGAAAGGGTTCTCGGACCTTCAAAGTTCAGAATAAATGTTTTCCAACCAACTGCCTAGCAGTGACATTTTGACCCCATGGCCAAATCCCTGCAATTGATGGCACTGTGCAGTATTGATGGTCACTGCGAAACGGAAGTTTAGATATGTGGGGAATGTCCACATTACTTTAGTGGGCCAAAGCGTAAGTACAATAATGGCAAGCTAGGCTTAACTAATGCAGCCTAGCACAGACCCATAAAAACAGGCTATGACATTAACACTTTCTGCGGTAAGGTCATAAACAAAATATGAACAGAAGAGACAGACACTGCAAGACGAAACACGTTCCGGAAGAGAATGGCGTATTAGCCACGTTGGCCTTCACGCCTACTACCCGGAAAAGTGTTGCCGACCCGATCAGGACACGAGGACAAACAACAGAACATGAACATCCCCAAAGTGGCTGCCAATATATAGCCAATTCATTTAGGCCCACTGGGGGATTGTGAACACCACGGCTGAGTTGCACAGAGGTCACTCCCCCAGGGACCATAACACAAGACACAAAATCAATCCAAGCTGGAGAGAGTGAGCACCTAACAACATAAACTGTCCTAATATTTCCTTCTTTTGACTTCATGCTGTTGTAACTCTCCAACTCGCTATGATTCGTCGCTCTATAATCTAAGAAAATTACTATTACTAATACTTTAGAGCATCATTTCTCAAAGCTCACCCCTATGTCGGATTCGTCAAACTCCTTTTTTAATGGATTTGGCAATTCTCGCGCCTTCAGTGCTCGCACCTTAAAGTTATTCCAGAAGCTTCATTCATTATTCCATTACTCAGGATATGGCGAAGGAATCGAATAGCAGCTTGTGTCTAGTAAAGTATAAGAAGCATTGCTATCGTAATAGGGTATTGAGTTTCAGGTGCCTAATCTAGATAGAGAGTTATAACATCCCAGTCAAAAGTGGGACAGGACAGTTTATGTCGTCATTGTATCTTACAGATGCGTTATACTCTAACTTATTGCGTATTAAACATAATAAAAGCATTGCAATCCTCTCCTGAAGTCAATCATTTCAGACAAAAAAGAGGAATCTTGAAGTTCGGTTCACAGCCAGCAAACAGTATTTAATGAAGTCGACGGGACCTTCAAGGGCATATGCTGAGCCATTCACAGGAAGCTCGCCAAACGCTCAAGTGTAAAGTAATCAATCATCAGAAAGAAGCAACTTGGAGTTGAATAATGGTGCGGGAACCTTAAGTGATGCGAAGGAGGGAGGAACTTACCAAGGTCATGGAGTGAATTCATTCGCATCCAAGAACTTCTCGGCCTATCTGGCCGACAATTCTGCTGGGTTAGCCTAGGGCGCGATGCCTTCAAGTCTATGCCTATCCAGGCCATAGGCTAGGCGGAAGGATGTAGGTTGATGCGTGCCGGTATGCTAGTGCAGGGGTGTCCAATAGGATTTCGATGCTCCCCAAACTTGCGGTGAATATGTTGGTCTGGTCACCACATTATGTAAAATATATGCACTATTAATGAAAAGAATGCGCAATCTTTTGAAATTAGATTTGGGGTTGTAAACCTTTATCAATCAAGACTGATGCACAGTAAAATACAAAGTAAAATGTGGCGAGTGGCGAACGTATTGGACACCACGGTATAATAGTGGATGCCTACTGGGTAATATAAAGTGAAGATTGGTAGTCATCACCCCTCTTAGGTGAGGCAGAGATAAACGTCCGTATTAATGAACCTGAAGCTCTCGACGGAGTGGTGAAACTGCCATTGCTAGCATCGCAATGATGTGTTTCAAACTAGATTGAGGTAGTAGAAAACTTACGAAACGAAGGCTAAGCGTATGATTGGGTGAAAAAAAGCGTTGACTACCCCTGCAATTTCAGTGTTTGGTATTCATTTCGCAATGATTGCCTTTCGCGTCTGTTAACTTCATTGAATATACCTCGACTAGCAAAATAGAAATGTCCATGTGCTTGATCCAATCCGTGCACGAGGCCTGGTATAAGAGAAATTTATGGGCTTTGAAATGATAAAGCCATACTCCTCCCATCCGGGGTTTACTCAAACCATATTTACACAAGAGAATTGTGCTGGAGAATAAATCGCCGTTGTTGCGAGTCATCCCCAGTGAGTGCAAGAATTTACAAAGGAAGATCTCTCATGAGCTTCAAGGAAAGAAATGATGCTGTTCTCCACGTGGAGCGGATTCTTCCATGACGGTTTTTCTAAAAAAAAAAACTGGACAAACTATACCGTTGGAGAAAACAATTATCACCTGATGCTGGAGTTAGGGATAAAAGTTCGAACTCTCATGGATGTTATTTTAAATTAACTTTACGTGCTTTTTTTATTACTAAGAATTGATGAAAAGTAAGCATGTCAGTGCGTGCCTACATGGGGTGTGTGCACGTGTGAAGTATTAGAAATAATGCGAAATTAATTAATTTCATTCTGGTTTTCCATACTTTGTGTGCATCCAGCATCATTTAAAACATTCCATGAAGGCGTGAGAATAAAGTGGCCCTCAAGCCACGTCGTTATTGTCAATGTTGACTATGTTTTACATTATCATGATAAAATGCCTCAGGCTCCGTAATATGAAAGGAGAGGTGTTAGAAGCGAAGACACCAAATTCTGTTTCCACAGGAGTAATTAGACCGAAAGGTTTCTTGATGATATTGGGCTTGAAAATCAGGGAAACCTCGTCCTATAAGTGTTCACAGTTGCGGTATGTACTGTATGAATCCATTTAGCTATTTTCCACAATTTGAGAAGAACCACACATCGGTCTTGAACTTCGGGGACAAACAATGCACAAAAGCCGATCGCTGAACCTATCAATTGCACGAGAGTAGAAGATGAAAACCCTCATGTTCATGCGTTCTTGAGTTGAAGCTTGAGCGATGAAAACTATGACCGAAGTTGAAAGGCTGTTGTACCTAATTGCTGGACCAAGTGGGCGTTCCGGGAAGTACTTGAAAACGCTTCCAGTATATTTTTTTTCTTGAAGAACCCGGAGAAGAAGAGCATGTCGCACCCATACAAAAGAGACTTCTAGGCGAAGCGATGGATTATAATTCTTGTGATCGGGGAATAGACCCATTTCGGGATTAATTGCACGTGACTTTGAAGTTTCTGAATGTCCTCAATTGTAAGCCATAGGAGTCAAGTACGCGGTTATCAACTCTAAAAATAAATAATAAATGAGATTAAAGTACTTGTGACCTCGTAATTTTCATTTTCATTGTTCCCATTGCATTGTTAATTTGTCTATTTTGGAGCGATTTGTCATGGTATGACCCTGTTATCCATATCATTTCATGCCTGGATTCCCAGTTTGTGCATATGATTGAATTGCACATATCGAATAAGAGAAATGCACGTTTCGTATTCGTAAGGAACACCATTTCATAGACGTCACTTGTCATGCTCAGGCAGAGCTTTTGCTCTAATGATAGTCCACAAGATATGGTCGTTATGCGTAATTGCTTGTTGCCTCTCAGGCCCGAACTAAATTACTGTTTTCTTTTCAGAGCGACACGAAAAAATGACATTTGCCTCCTGACCTTGGACCAGGCGTTGTCATTCGGCCCGACCATAGGAGTCATTCTTCCCATACAAGGCCAGGACTATGAAGGTACTAGTCCCTTTCGGGAGAGCGGGAGGAGAATCAATACCACATGAGTCAGGGAAGCATCCACTTCGATTGGATTGAGATGGGGTACTTTGTGGATGGAATCTCATGTCTGGACGATTGACAGCGTGGAAAATAGTTTTTGATAAACGAAAGTCTACCGTCGCTTGTTGGGAATATTTTGCCATGGGATGATTCTATATCGGTTGGCTACATTCTTGTAATGAATGCTGTAAGCTGCTAAGCGTCTAGAGAAGCCTGTTGGTCATGCTACAGAACAGTGATATCCAATTTTTTTTAAAGCGTTGACTGTGGATACTTTGGGGACAACCTGAAGTGGACAGGATCGAACAATTATGCAAAGCTAAATCAGCAAAAGCCACTTATTAGGATGGGTCATACTATCCAGAATTGCCCAATCGAAAGGAAACATGCAAATTGACAGACTACGATACCTCTCTTAATTATTTAGCGATATATAAATACTGATTTGTCACAGAAAGAAATGGATCGCATGGTGCCAGCAAAACTGGAAATACTGTTCAGTAATATCAGATGCATCTCCTGTTCCACATTGAAGGGTTGGGAATATCCTCGGTGACTTTGGAACTAGCCTGATCGATTGACGGAATTTGTTTCACAAAATTGCTTGCCACACTCCTGTCTGCCTGAAGTTTCATTACGAATTCATGTAAGGATATTTACGCTTTTGTTACACACATAAAAAATACCTCCCAAATATCCTCCGTCTCGCAGGTAGCAACTATGTGCAGTTTGCAAGAACAGATGTTGATATATATTGATAGTTACTCTAAGAGGCAGCAGGTCATGAATGAGAAATCTGTTGTCAACAAGGATGTTATCTCCAGGCTTCAGCTGATAAAAAAGATACCACGTTGCATCAATATTTGTTTATTGGATGTAGACCTTAGGTAGAGATAATTGAGATAAGTGATTAGATCACGCAGGGGAACATACACGAGCCC